CAGGTGAGGTTCTTGCTAAGATCGGGTAGGGAATATGACCAAGCATCATCCGATTCCGGCAAACTGTCTCCCAGATTTTTAGGCTATTTTCTTTTTCGTTCTACTGAGCGCAAGCAAGCATCGGATAAAAGGTTTGTGTAAAATTTAGTGAATTTTTTTCTTTTGTTCTAGCATCGGAGTTATCAATCATACCAACAAGTAATTTTCTTTGGAGCAGCACCACATTCAAGGAACAAAGTGCTCATGTCACATCAGTTAAGAATATTTTAGAAAACCATGCGAGTTACTTGATGGCAGGGAAAGAGCTTTCCAAGCTTGTTGCATTTGTAAAAGGCACTCAGTTTGATTTAGTGGTAAGAAGATCTTGCTGGTTGACTTGTTTGTTCTAATCCCCTTAAGTCAATTTCCCTTTATTTTAATGTGTAAATTGTTTAATGATAACCAATTTCAGGAATATCTACAACGCGAAAGATATGGAAGTGCCCGGCTGGAGAATTTTGCTTCAGGGCTTGAACTAATAAGCCAAAAGGTTTTGAGATTTAACATTTGAAAAATAAAACTTATTTTTTGATCAGTTATGCTCTAAATGGCTTTATGGTACAGGAGGATACTTTACCCTACTGATATTCCCTTCTTTTGAAAACATTTCTTTTTCTAAGGAAAAAAAACTCGTTGCATCGAAATGTATCATAAATTATGATTATGACTGTAGATGGAGGAACACTTATTATTCACTGCTGAAGCCAATCTTGAACACTGATTATGCGCTCTATTCATTTGGCAGAAGCTTGTGTAGATTTATCATAATGTTTTTCTTTAGCTATAAATCTTCACTCTGTTAATGAACGCTATTTTGTGTATTCAGCTTCAAATGGAAACATTACAGAGCCGATTGGATGCTGACTTTCTCCTGGCTCATATGTGCTCTGTCAAATTTAAGGAATGGATAGTTGTCCTGGCTACTCTCTTAAGACGTTCCGAGGTATGTTAAGGTTCATTGTGTACACTGATACAAAATTTTGGTGACGCAGGCAGTGTCAAGATTTTAGGGAAAAGATGGAAAGGAGAATGATAGAAAATCCAATTCTGAGTTATGATGTATTAGATGAGAGGACACAACATTTAATTAATACTCTTATTATACTAATACACAGTTTTAATTAGATTTTATTAGATTTATTGTTCTTCACTTACAAAAATTAAGTCTTTATGACTTAAAAACTCAGTAGTCTTCACAGTTACTGCATGATTTTTGAAATGATTCTTCATAATTATATATATATCTGTCATTTATTGATCTTATGCTATTTTGAAAAAGGATTCACTTTGTTGATATTTGGAATATTCTTCTGGTGTGCTTTTACAGGTTCTGTTTGACTTGTTCCGTCACGATTTTCGGTTATGGAAAGCTTACAGCAGCACCCTGCAGGTATAACTATCTTAATTTTTCTGATGCAATTGATAGTAATTGCATAATTTATACTTAATGAACAAAATTATAGTTCCTGCTGGTTTTCTATGCACTACAGTCACACCCAGCATTTACTGAATATCAAGATTTATTAGAAGACCTGGAAGAGAAACTTTCATCTGTTACAAATGAGGAAGAAGAATGAAAGTAAACATAGATTTCACATCTGTACTGTGGTCCTCATCGGTTTCCCTGCTAAAGTAGTTTGCTTGGGAGGCTTTTAGCCTCAGCCCACATCATAGTTTGAACAATCACGTCACACTGAAAGGACTACGCATCCTTTCCATTGGATTCGGTCGTGGGGGGACGAGTAAATTACATTTATGTGGAGCTTAAATTAAGATGATCGTGGTGGTAACACCATCTTTGTGGTGTTCTAACCGAATGAATCCGATCCGGAATAGTAATTGTAGATAGAGGTTAGAAATATTTGTAGGGAGGCTTGTTCATGTCTGAGGATTTCACTATTCTTTTTCACTTTTTAATTCAAATTTTGTAACATGTGATTTTTGTACAAGCATGAACAGATTCATCTGTATATATATATATATATATATTGGTTATATGCTCTTTGATCAGTTCAACATTCAGAGTGATTTTATGCTATTATTTTCTCTCTTACTTGACAATTCTTGAAGAGTGCAACAATTCTCTCACATTCGTTCCAAAATATTCTATCTTATTTAATGAAAATTTTATGAATTTCACTTAATTATGTGAACCTTTTCTCTATTTTTAAGATCCATTTTCAAAGTGATGAGATGGATATGAATTCCACTCAATAACGTATTAGATAGCATTGATTACATTCTCTTTATGTTTGGATTGACGTATTAGATAGCATTGATTACATTCTCCTTATGTTTGGATTGATGGAACCGAACCAAGGGGGAATGAAAATTGAGCGGAATGGAATATGACAGAATATAATGGAGTGAAATGAAATATAAATTTCACTTCATTGTTTTTTTATTTTATTAAAAATGTCTTATTTTATCACATATATCCAATATATCCAAAACTGGATGAAAAGAAAAATGGAGAATTAGATGAAATGGGATGAAAATCTTTCATTCCATCCATTATTCATAAATTCAAACATGATAAGATAGAATAAAGTAGTTCCAATTTCTGAACATAAAATACAAGTATTACAATATATAATCTTAACTATATTCTAAAATATAAATTATTTTGAGAAAAAAAGACTCGTCTTAAATTACAAATAATTTTATTGGGTGATCCACTGAACGAGCTTTCCATTTTTTTTCCTTCTATCGTTTCTTATTTTGCAAAAGACGTCATTCTCCACCTCAACCGCTGCTTATGTTTAATAAAATTTGCATCAATCCTGAACTCCAAACACATTAGTTTTCTCTTATTCTCTCATTCTCTGGTTGCCTTCCAACTTCTTTTATCTAGTTATGGTTTTCATTAGAGTGGGATTTGAATAAGAATGTGATCAAGCCTAAAAACGCAATAATTACCTATATGTTGACTAATATCTCTTGTCATTTCCAATTCCCTTTCAACCAACTACGGAGGGACTCTGTTTAATGAACACGGGAAGAATAAAAGCCATGGCCTTCTAATAGGAAGATATAAATTCATTTATGAATCAAGATTACACAGCTTTAAGATAAACAAGACGTATTTCAGCTAATTAATTTTCACATTCCACGTTATAAAAACATGTGCTGCATCTCTTTCTCTTCCATATTCTGAATTTCAATCCTCTCTATAACAGTTATACTTCACTTGAAAGAGAATGGCCAAAAAGTATGAAGCACCTGCTATCGGAATCGACCTTGGCACCACCTATTCTTGTGTAGCAGTCTGGCAGAATAATAACAATCGAGCTGAGATTATCCACAATGATCAAGGCAATAGAATCACACCTTCTTTTGTTGCTTTCACTGATTCACAGAGGTTGATTGGTAATGCTGCAAAAAATCAGGCTGCATATAACCCAACCAACACCGTCTTTGGTAATTGATCTTTTTTCTTTTCTTACTCAGACTTGTAAATATTTCTATAGTTGTTTACTTGTTTCTACTTATTTTCTATGCTTTCATAGAGAAGAACAATTTTTACATCATCAACATTTTTTATTTCTGCAGACGCAAAGAGGTTAATTGGAAGGAAATATAGTGATTCTATTATTCGGGATGATATAAACTTGTGGCCCTTTAAGGTCATTGCTCGTGCTGATGACACTCCCATGATCCTTGTTAAGTACAAGGGTGAAGAGAAGTGCTTTGTTGCAGAGGAAATATCATTTATGATCCTCTCAAAGATGCAGGAGATTGCAGAGAAATTTTTGGAATTACCCGTAAAGAATGTGGTGATTACTGTGCCGGCTTATTTTAATGATTCTCAGAGAAGAGCTACCAAAGATGCTGGTTTTATTGCTGGCCTCAATGTAATGCGGATTATCAACGAACCAACTGCTGCTGCACTTGCATATGGCATTCAAAAGAGGTGATTTTGTTGGAAGGCGAAATGTATTAGTCTTTGATCTTGGTGGTGGCACTTTTGATGTGTCCCTTCTCACACTTGAGGGTAATTGCTTTGAAGTAAAGGCCACTGCTGGCGATACTCACTTAGGAGGAGAGGACTTTGATAACAGAATGGTAAACCACTTAGTTGAAGAGTTAAAGAGGAAGAATAATGTTGACATTAATGGGAACCAAAAAGCTTTAAGAAAGCTGAGAACTGCTTGTGAGAGGGCAAAGAGGGCACTTTCGTTTGACATTGAGGCCACAGTTGACATAGAGTGCCAGGGTATTGACTTCTTGTCATTAGTTACTCGAGCCAAATTTGAGCAACTCAACATGGACCTCTTTGAAAAATGTATGCAGATTGTTGGGAGTTGTCTACGTGATGCTAACATGGTCAAGAGTAGTGTAGATAATATTGTCCTTGTCGGGGGTTTTTCTAGAATTCCCAAAGTGCAGCAGCTATTGCGAGACTTTTTTCGAGGGAAAGGATTTATGCATGAGCATGAATCCGGATGAGGTTGTTGCTTATGGTGCAGCTGTGCAGGCTGCTTTGCTGACTGAAGGCATCAAGAGTGTTCCAAATTTGTTTTTGCAAGATATTACACCCTTGTCTCTCGGTATATCGACAAAAGGAGATATCATGAGTGTGGTGATTCCAAGGAACACTCCTATTCCTGTCAAGATGACAGAAGAAAGATGTAAGACAAGTGTAGATAACCAATTTGGTGTCTCAATTAATGTTTACGAGGGTGAGAGAATAAAAGCCAGCGAGAACAACTTGCTGGGTTTGTTTAGTCTCTCAGTTCCTCGTGCTCCTCGTGGCCTTCGTATCAAAGTGAGCTTTGCTATAGATGCAGACAGTATATTGACTGTCGCTGCCAAGGAAGAAACCACTTGAGGTAAGAAGGAGATTACAATAACAAATGTAAATGGAAGACTGTCAAAGGAAGAAATTGAGAGAATGATTCAAGAAGCTGAGAATTTCAAGGTTGAAGATATGAAGTTCCAAGAGAAAGCTAGAGCAATGAATGCTCTTGGACAATTATCTTTACAAGATGAGTAAAGTAATGAAAGATGATAATGTTAGTTCCATGCTGACTCCTGCAGACAATATGAAGATCAATTCTGCAATTATGAATGGAAAAAGTTTGATTGATAATCATTGCAACCAACGCCAGGAAACATGTGTGTTTGTGGACTTTATGAAGGAGCTTGAAAGCATGTTTGAATCCATGTTGAACAAGATCAACAAAGGTTTCTTACTCTTGTGAGAAAAGTAATTTGGAATATTTTTGTTTTTTTTATGTGTTTGTCAATTCAGTTTCCTAGTGAATAATGATAAGACCATCCATAAATATTTGTCATACCAAAACATATAATTTGGTGCATCAGTAAACTCGTATTACTACTACTCAAAATGAAAGTTGCATAATCATTTTCACATTTCAAACTTTTACAATGATAAAAGCTACAATATTAAAAACAGAACAAAACAAAAAATAATCGAAACAAAATAGTGTAAAGGCAAAAGGTATGCCTTAATATTATGATATAAACAAGTAAGACAACTTAGATGTATTACAACAATTCCTAAAAAGTGTCGGGATTTCATACTCGGGCGTCCTTTGTAGCTTGATCAGAAGCATGTTCTTTCGCGTCTCTCTTCTCTTATCAAAGCAACCTAGATGGCTAGATTTACTGATATTCTAGAAACAATAATTTCATGAAACTATAAGTTGCGAGTCTTAACACTTAACGTTATCCACGGATGAATTCACAGGCAACCTTGACCATGATACAGATTCCCTTGACTCAATAATCCTTCTACGAATCACTATGGATAAGCTTAACACAATGCATACAGCAGCCACCAAAGTAAGAAAAATACCAGTATTTCCACGTGACTGGTGGCTCTTAAGAACAAAATCAGCACAAACAGCTCCATCAAGACTCTTGTATTGATTGTTCAACTTCATAACCTCAACTGCATTCAACATACCATCAATGACGTGTGGAAGACTGCTCTTTGAAGGACCTATACTAACACTCAAAGCACCTACGCTACTATCTCCATCAACAACAAAGCCAACGTAATACGGGGAAGCCAGGGAGCTTGTAACATAAGTGATATCCAAATCTTCAAGAGCCAATTCACCATTCACATATACATTGAAATATAGCAAACCACCCGAAATGCTAGCAATATCACAGAAATGCAACCTGACCAGATACTTATATCCACCCGTAATTGGAAACACCCAAGTCATATTAACATTAGGCACAGAATCATTCTTACTTCTAATCAACCTAGCAGTGTTATAGACATTATCCGGTCCAACCTCGCGACTAGCACCTCCAACATGATAATTGATCCTACCACCAAAGTAAAACTTCTCAGACCCAACACTTGATTTGAGAAACTCTTCATCAGGAACCCAAGTCCTCCACAAGGAATCATTAAAAGGTGTAACTTTAGGACCTCCAACAGTGACCCTATAAACAACTTCAAGAGCTTGTTTGTTTAAACCATCGAAACGTTTCAAATTCCCTGAACTCAAATACTGTGCTGTTTCAGGAATAAGGTCTGTAGGTGCAGAAATCACCTCAATAGCATTGACAAACGCCAAGTCCGAATCTTTACTAGGCACAAACACGACCACAAGCTTTTCAGAATCAACCCATACGAGATACTCAACTACCCTAGGGTTTCTCTCACTATCAGAAACAAAACGAGTGAAATTACTCAGAACAACATACCCATCAACCAAGATGTTAAATTGAGCGCGACCCAGGTCGAGATTCGAGGAATTGAAGGCGTGAAAGTGGAAACGAACGATGTGGGTCCCTTTTTGTTTGATTGGGAACGAGTATTTGGTAGGTTTAGTGAAAACCCTGGCGGTAAGGTAGATTTGTGGCAAATTGGGAAGTGGGTCTTGGTTTTTGACGAAAAGGGGATGTGAGGAGGTGGAAAAAGAAGGGGAGTGTTTAGCGGCGAGGTCGCCGGTGAAACGACGGTTGTTTAGGAGGGTGGTGGGGGAGGTGGAACCGCAGTTGATGAGGTAGTTGTCGGGAGGAGAGAAGAGGTGTGAAAAGACGGAGAGTGTGGAGAAGGAAAGGAGGAAGAGAAGAGAGAAGAGGTTGTTTTGGTTGAAGTTTTTCATGGTTGGTTTGTGATGTGGGATGAGGAGGAGGAAGAACTGAAGAAGAAGAAGAAGATGGAAGAGAAGACTGACCTGGCAGGCAAGACGAGTCGAGTGGGACCCACACGCTGTAAGAAGTCACAGGCTGTGGGATCACTTTCTTTTTCTTTGATTCATTCCATCTAGTCACTCTCCTACACCATTTCCAAGAACTTTCTAAACTTGATTTTAAATTATATTTTTTTTATGAGGATTTTAAATTATATTTCTGTGTTCTTAGACACCAATAAATTTGATGATAATAATATTATTAAAAACTTTAAGAGTTTCTTTAACATCATAATATATTAAAAACTTTTATCTACTACTAGAAGTGGAAGAAAATTTAAAAAGAGTATACTTTTCTATAGGAAGAAAATTTAATGATAAGAATAGTAGTACTTTTGAAATATAAACAATGATTTATATTCAACTCTATTTTTTAATATAATTAATTATACAATATTTAACTTTAAAATTTTCAATTGGACTGAGATTGAATTAAATGTAAATAAATTAAATTTTGAATATGTTTATATTTAAACGATAAATTTTATTGTTAAAATTAATTTAAAATTAAAATTTTTAAATTATAATAAATGATAAAGTTGCTTCTTTCAAAAAAATATTCTTTAGTTCTACTGTTCCAATCTAATTTATAAGAAAAAAAACAAATTTTATGCTTATTAAAAATTATAGTTAAGTATATTTAATTTTTTTAATATATCCGTTACTAATTCACTTTCAATTAAATTGTTTTTCACTAACTTAATATAGGAATATTTTTGAAATAAATGCATTAAATACGTATATATTTGTTGATATTTGTGACAAAAAGTATTAGTAGACTTTTGATTATAAATAAAGCGGAGATAGGAGTGTTTATGGGTGCGGATTGTCTCACGAATCTGTTGATTCAAACTGAACTAACTTATAAATTATTCAAATCTATTAAATTAGGGGTATGTTTAATCCAATCCATAACAATTTGTATAGTTTTAATTTGGATACCAGATTTAAGTTTTACAACTCGCAGATCCGTTAACTCAATTTATTAATGTGACTTTAGTAATTTTTATTTTCTTTTAATTATTATTTTAAATAAAAAATATAAAATTAATTCTTACTAATAACCATATGTTTTTCAAAAAAGTTTTATTTTCCATCTATAGTATTATTATAATAATGAGTTTACGTCATTCTAAGATTAAATATTGTTTCTTTTTTTTTTCGGTATTATTTTTAATTTATGTTTTTTTCCGAAGTAACGTGTTTTTTTTAATTTCATATTATTTTCAAGTATTATGTTTTGTTGATGAATTTTATTAGATATTATAAAATATATTTCATCGAATTTGAGTATTATAAATGAGTACGATTGTATTGAGTTTTGTTACATTATTTTTTTATACCGACAAAAAAAATCATAAAAATATTTTTTATTTAAAACACAACTCCCAAACCCAACTCAATCCAACCCAACTTATAAAAGAATGAGTCGATTTTGATAATGAAATTGTGGTTTAAAGAAAAATATATATAATCCATTAAAATTTAAACGAGTTAGGTAACCCGATACAACCAACCTGTATACACGTCTAACCGGAGGAAATATATGTTAATATTTAGGTTTATTTTAATTTTTAATTTAAAAAAAATCATAGTATTTCTTTAATTTTTGAAAACATATCACGTTGGTGTTTTTTTTTTAATTTAATTAATAATAAAAAAATTCACGTCCAACCTTTATACACGTCTAATCCGGAGGAAATATATGTTAATATTTAGGTTTATTTTAATTTTTAATTTAAAAAATTCATAATTTTCTTTTAATTTTTGAAAACATATCACGTTGGTTTTTTTTTTTTAAAATTTAATTAACAATAAAAAAGTTCAAAAATTAATTGATAAATTTAATACTAATTAAAAAAATAAATAACATGTCAGTTTAAACGAGTTAATGACTAATATGATTTTTTTAATTAAAATAAACTAGAAATAAATATATAAGACTAAAAAAGAATATTAAATTTAAAATTAATTTGTTCTATTATTTTATTTTTAAATTCCGCTTGAAGAGATTTTTGTTTTATAAAAATTAGTTATTTTTGTCAATAATACCACAAATCATTTATTGTAGAGAGATAATTAATAATTAATCAAAAATACTATATGAAAAAAGATAAATAAAATATAAAAAATAAAATTTGTAATTGTGTAAATATCAGAAATTTTCACCCATATAACCAACTTTCTACACTATTATTTCCAAACTACCCAACATTCCAATATATTAACCAATCTACCCTAGTTTGGTATTTTTTTAATTTTTTTTTACAAGGGGGCGCCATGGGGGTTGGAGCCTCCCTTATAATTTGTATGGGGGCGCCATGGGGGTTGGAGCCTCCCTTATAATTTGTATGGGGGCGCCATGGGGGTTGGAGCCACCCTACAAATTATAAAGGGGACGCCATACCCATTGGAGCCTCCCTTAAACGAAAATTAAAAATTATTTTTAATGTTTAATTAGTTTAAAAATATTTAATAAATAATTTTTAATAAATTAAAATTTTTTTAAAAATAATAATTTTGTAAATAATAATTTCTGAATAATTTTTAACAATTTATATTTTAATATTGAAATTGTTTCATATTTTTAACAATTTATAAATAAATAATAATTAATATTTTCATTAATAAATTCCAAACAACAAATAAAAATTAAATTGGATTAAATAAATTTAATCACATACAAATGGCTACATTTGAAAGATCTTGTACACTAATTTCTACGACTCGGTCGATTTAAATGTCCGCCCGTACCGCATCCTCGATTACGTACGTTTCTTGGTGGTCTTTGTGGTGGAGTCGGGTCCATTGTGTCGTCATCAAGCATTTGTGTCGTCATGCGGTCGAAGTGATGCAAATGCTTGATGACGACACAATGAACCCGACTCCACCACAAAGACCACCAAGAAACGTACGTAATCGAGGATGCGGTACGGGCGGACATTTAAATCGACCGAGTCGTAGAAATTAGTGTACAAGATCTTTCAAATGTAGCCATTTGTATGTGATTAAATTTATTTAAT